CAAAAATAACTTTATAAATTCCTTTAATATCATACTTTTAATTGTAATTTGATAATGTCACTATCTACTATTATTCCTATCACTATTTTAACTAAAATTCTTCAATTAACTACCAAATTATTTGACAAATTATGCACTCAAAATTCAGATATTAAGTTAATTATAAACTTTCAAAGCTTCTAATTCATTAACACTAATAATAAAAATCAAACTGTGAAAAACAATACTCAAATAATTTCAGAAAAAAAGATGAAATTTATATGAATAATTTTGAACAAGAAATCATTAATAGAATTATGAAAGCAAGTGCTGGACCAAAAATTGCATATACACCAAAATTAACAACAAATGCAGATATATTAATCGATTATAATGAACTATTCAGCTATACTCATTATTTCACCACATCATTACATTATAAAATTGGAAGAGTGTTAATTGAAATGACTACTGGAACCCACACCCAAAGAATGACAGATACTCAAAAGATCTTTAGAAAATGTATAGCAGATAAAAATATCAAACAACAAGTAGCATTATCATTTATAGTATACAATTATTTTAGAAACAATTCTCACTTTATTAATTGCTGAAAATTAGATTAACTGTTTTTTTTAGGAAACATTAAAAAAATAAGTCACAAGATTAGTGATAATCTTCAAAAGCATATAGAAGATTTATTTGAATTTGTTAATAGTATTTTACAAGTACTTATAGAAGATTTAGAAGCAGTATAGTTTATTTTTATATTTATTTTTATATTTATTTATTTTATTTATTTTTATATTTTTATTTTAATTTATTTTTACTTTATTTTATATTATTTATTTTATATTTTTAATTTTATAAAGTAAAATATTTAACTTCAAGAGACCTGTTGTAATATGAATTTTAATATATTATATGACTTTTCATAGTTAATTTTTATTGGATAATTGATTTGTAAATTATATTCATATTTATTTTATATTATCTATATTTATTTTATATTATTTTTATAATATTTTATTATATTTTTATACTATTATCATTTTATTTTATATTATTTCATTCTATTTTCATACTATTTTATTCTATATTTATATTATTTTATTCTATTTTATATTATCTCATTCTATATTATTTATAATTCATACTAATTATATTTAATTTATATTATTATTATTAGTATAAAAAACATGTGTTAATTAATCTACATAATCAAATTTGATTGATATTAATAATAAAATTTATGTAACATTAGAGCAAGCAATATATAATTATCAAGCGAGTAAGCAATGTACAATCATCAAGCGAGCGAGCGATACACAATCATCAAATGAGTACTTTTTGTAATCTTAATATCAATCAAAAATAGCTTTAATATTTGCAAGTTGTGTAATAATAATTTGTATAAATATAACATGTATCTTAGCTTAGAAAAATAATCTTCATATAGATTTGAATCTTTTCTTTTTAAATTTAATCTTCTTACTTTTTAATTTTCTTTGACAAAATCTTCTTAGAAGTGAGTTATATTATAAGTCTTGAGTTGAAGATTTTTAGTCAAGTATTAATTACCCTTTTCTTTCTTATTTGTATTTTTTATTATTTAAAAGCTCTCACATCTGTAACAAGAAACGTCATCTATAATAACATAATTAACCTCTCGTCACTATCCTGCAAAGTTGATTAATATAATTTAGATTTATAATAAAAAAAGAAGATAATTTTATTAAAAGTTAATCAATAAAAGAAGATTACTTAACAATTAAATCATTTGAATTAAAAAAAGATTTCTAAACTCATTCTAGTAATTCAACAAAATAAACACATCATTACCTATCTTTATTAAATTAGTCTCTCCCAATCTTAATTACTTTAAACACATAAAAATCTTTAATAACTCTCTCACTTAATTAAGATACATGAAGAACATGTGATTTATATTTGAAAGTTAATAAACCAATAAAAATGATAACAATATTGATTAAATATTTATATTACAATAATATTCATTAAGAATCTGATCATAATAATTAATTTTATATTTAACAATATTAATATATATATAAATTTATTAAAATTTTGAAAAAAAGTCTAATTCAGTTTGAGTTTGGTTTAGTTTGAACTTGAATTTGATCAAAAATCTGGTACAAAAATTTGAATTCAGTTAAATATCTGATTCAAGTTCAGTTTGAATTTTGAACCTGATTTGAATCTGATCAAAAGTCTGATTTGAGTTCAAGTAAATATTCAATAAACTTCTAAGTAAAGTTATAAATTAGAATTAGAGTTACAAATTAATATTAAATAGTTGATATTAAAAATAGATATTCAAAAAATATTTAGATTTAAAAAATATTTTAGATTTTTATAATTTAATTTAATTTAGTTATTTTATAGTAAATTTTTATTTTGCTATAGTAATAATAAACTATAATTATAAATAAAGTTATAATTAGAAATAAGTGCTATAATTTGATATAAGATAGTTGTTATTAATAATAATTATTCAAAGAGATATATAGAATTTATAATAAAATTTAATAATTATAAAAATAAAAATAATTTAATTATTACTAAGTAAACTTTTAATTCTTACTAAATAGTATAATTGGTAATTGATAATTATAATTAAAGTTGTAGCTCTTACTTAGAGCTACAAATTGATATATAATACTATATATCAATTTTTAATTGAACTTGAATTAGACTCAAATTCATATAATAGTTTGATTCAAACTTCAAACTTTTCTTGAACTCAAGTTTGAGTTTAGTTCAAATTTTGAACCAGACTCGAATCCAAACAAAAATCTGGTTCAGTTCAGTTTATAGGAATACTAATCCATAATAATATTCTTTATTTCTTTGATAATATTAGCATTCACAATTATAAATATTATAATATGAACATGCTTTGTAGTACTTATATTTCTGATAACTTTGATATTTGCTGCAATAATTCTATACTAGACAAGCTCATTATAGTTTATATTTACAATATTATTTTGGTTCAAATTAAATTCAAACTGGGCTGATCTGAACTTATTAAATTCATATCGTATCAGATTAAGAATTTTCCAGATCTGAAATATTTAGATCAGATCAAAATGTACTCTAATCTGAAGTAATCCGATACGAAGGCATCTTTAGAGTTTTCATTCAATTCAGATATTGGTTCAGTCGGCAAAGTTTCTCTGAAATATCAGTTCTCAATTCTTTAATTAGTCTTTGTAATATAGGAGCATCTTCCTTTGAAACTTGCTTTTTCACTTTCTTACTAAATAATTTACTAGTGGATTCACAACACGCTTTTTCTGGGAGTTATCTTTATATATTGGAAAATCATTAAATAATACAGGAGATATATTCATTCAATGCTTTTTGAGCTCAATCTAAATTTAAAAAGTAGACATAACGATAAATAACAGACATCATAATGGAAGTTTGGTTTCCAGTAACAACTGCTTCAGACTTACTAGTTTCGAATCTCGGACGCGTCAAGAACAAAAGAGGTATGATATTTGAGTTAAATGCCTGCAAAAAAAAGGTTATGTACGAATTGAGCTTAAAGTTAATTGTGTTAAAAAGAGTATTGCAGTTCATATTTTGGTTGCGCAAGCATTTATCCCTAATCCAGAAAATAAGCTCTATGTTAATCACATCAACGGTATCAGACATGATAATCGAGCTGTTAATTTAGAATGGGTAACTCCTAAAGAGAATGCTGAACGAACAGTATTTCGAAATCCTAGTCGTAGTAATTCTAAAAAAAATTGTGCAATTGACTTTGGATGGAAATGTTGTTCAGGTTCTCAAAGTTGTGGCGGAAAGCTAAATACTGCTGGAGGGTGGCATTGGATATATTATGAAGATTATATAGAACAAGATCCTAATGAAGAATGGAAAGAAATAGAGATTAATTCACGAAAATTTAGAGTTTCGTCCTTAGGGAGGGTTCAGTTTCCGAACGGTTTAATATCTCGAGGATCATTTTGTCCCAAAGAAGAAGGCAAAGAATATATAAATCATATTGACGGAGATTCTACCAATAATAAAGCATCAAATCTCGAATGGGTTAAGTCAAAAAGCAAATACTCAACATGCCATACATCTCGGGCTTCGACACCAACGTGCTGTCAAGCAAATTTTAATGATGGAACTTTCCGAATATTTCCATCCTTAGCTGAAGCACAATGTATTATACATCAAAGTATCAGTTTAGTATGTCGAGGACTTCAAAATCATGCTGGTGGATATCGTTGGGAATATATAATGCAACAATACATAATAAGAATCGATTTGTTTAATTATAAAATTACTAACTTCTATCCACCAACTTATTTAAGTTATAATCTCAACCTCAATACTCTACTTTTTTGCTGATTACTGAATTACTAAATAATTCAGATTTAAATATGTGGTGCTTGCTTTTTTCTTCACAAATCCATTATTAGTTTTAATCATAGATTTGTGAAATAAATTCTTGTCTACACAACAAATACGGATCCAATTTTGGAACCTTACTCTTTTAGAATGTGAAATAGAATTTTGGTCGTAATCCATTACTAGTTCATTATCATGTGGTATATCACCTGAACGCTAAAATTGAGAGTTCCTGGAATTGCATCAAGAATGTTTTTCGCAAAGACTATAATTTGGGTTTTATCCATGCTTCAGCAACGAAAAAATCATACCTCATCTACCTCCATATCACCTATATACCCGCTCATATGTCACTCAAAATTATTTGACCCAACTCGAATTAGCATTACATCCGAAATTTTGCAAGGGAGAGGTATAGTAAGTTCATTATAGCGGAATCGAAATGAGAAGGTCAAGTTTTTCGATCAACGAAAAATAAAATTAATTATCAATATGCTAAAAAATACCGAATGTGAGAAATTGGTCGCACAGAAAACATATGGAGATCGTGCATCACGTGCAAGTCCGAAAGTTAATTCATTGCAATCGCGTAATGTTTTGTTACCCTTTCTTATTGTACACGATTACACCAAATGGAAAGTCCAGAACAAAGAGGAGAAGGAACTGGACAAGGGGCCTTGAGTTCAGAAGTACAGTACAGTAGAAAAGCTAAAAAATGCGGTATGTTTTTTTACCTTTTTAAATTTGAATTCTAACGAGTTTAAATACTACCATAACTAACGACTGATTTCATATTAGAGGTCAATGATACATTCAAAATTTGACTTGTTGGATAGACCCTGGTGGAAGCCCTCTTTTGATGAACGGGATGCTAAATATTTAATCTTAAATGCCAAGCGCCTCCAACATGCCATATCATTAGCAGTTAACGAAAATGAAAATAACGCGCTCTTTTGGAAGGGATATATCGACCTTCATCGTGAACATTATCAGCTCGAATGTATTTCTACAGAAAGTGACGTTAACCTCACTATCGACTTTATACAACAGGCTCTAAAAAAAACCTGGCATTCTTAGAGTGTTTTTGAGCTGGCTTTGCGGAAAAATTTTTGCATCTTGTCTCGTACCCGAAAGATCTTCACGTTTGATTAAAAAAGTGAAAAATGTCCATTATTTCCTGATCTTCCAGTAGATCGGTTTACACCTTCGTTTGCACAACAGTTGCACCGACAAATTGGAAACGGGTTGATTTGTAATGCGGGTCAGTATAGAACGCGATATGTTATGGCAGCACAAGATAACTTTGTATATATAGCACATGATTTGATCGAGAACAAAATGAACGAGTTATTCCGTCAATGTAGAGAGAAATTTGAAAGGACAGACTTGCAGTTAGAGGAAGCTATTAAATACGAAGCATGTTTTCTTGCCTACTTCTTGCTGATTCACCCTTTTATAAATGGAAACGGAAGAGTAACGAGATTGCTTTTAAGTTATCTCTTATCAAGGTTTACTGTGGTACCTCTTTCTTTATATACAGGAGCTAAAACACGAGATATGTATTTACAATGTCTCCGTGAAGCACAGTGGTATCAAGAATCATTCAAACCCAGCGCACTTGCAACCTTTATACTTGAATGTGTATACACGACATCTTATAACATATGTGTAGTGATGGATGTAAATATTCAAAATTAATATAGCTGTTAATTCTATTATGAAGTGATATATTTTAGCAAAAAAGAATGTAATCATGGTTTAAATCAATAAAAGTATCTTATTTTGGTATGAATTTAAAAATCAAAGTCCTACTGATGTGGACATTATTATTTATTATTGTAAACAACTCAATATGAGTGAAACTTTCTTGGAGCTGTAGTTGAGGTTGGAATGGAATTCCTTTTTTTTCAGAAGTATGAAGACACCTGCGATAATAATATATTGCATTTTTCAGACAATAGCATATGAGTTGATTTATTTGATCGATTGATTGTTTGATCGATTGTTTATTATATCGCGCGATGAGTAATAATTGCTTTGGTATAGCTTGATTTCTTACCCAAATCTCCTGCGATTTCGTCCTGTTTTATAGATTGAGCAATCGAAGGTAATAAATTACTAGCGATCGTGATATTTGTCAGTACGTGATATTTCAAACTATTTATGCCGACTAATATATGAGTTGCATTGGTGATCGTTCATCTATAAAAATTGACTTCATATTCACGATTGTTTGTATATACTATACGTTTGATCGGTGATCTGAATGCGTAATGAAATTATCCACATGGGATTGCTGAGAGTACAATTTAGGTGATTTATCAATTTGTAAAAATCTCTACTTACCGGTTTTCACTTACCTTTGTCTATGGAGCTACATATACAGTTCCGGCGGAAAGTAATGGTGGGACGTGGTTTTTCACGTTTTTTGTAGATATTTTGAGGAGGATTTATCCAAAAGTCATGAAAATTTGTATAAAGATTTTTTAGGATGCTAGGAACAAGATTTGCTAAGGTCATAAAGCATGTTAACATAGTAATAATTTGAGTTATTTGGTGTCAAAGTTGGCGAACTGGGGGCACCTTGGGGGTACCCCCCATTAAGTAGATTAAAAACATTATTTCAAAATATTTTCAATAATCAAGCATGAAAATATTTTTGTGAAAATATATTTGAAAATATAAGAAATATATTTGTAAATTTTAAAATTTTTAGTTCATAAATGGCAGTCAAAAAAAGGCTTAATTTTGATGATTTTCTTAATAAATTATAGTAAAAATTATAATTTACTATGATTCATTAAGAAAATCATCAAAATTAAGCCTTTTTTTTTACTGCCATTTATTCAATGAGTATGAACTAAAAATTTTTTAAAATTTGCAAATATATTTCTTATATCTTCAAATATATTT